GACTTAGTCAACTATCCCCACCTGTCAGCCTGAGGTGCATACTTCTGGGTACACTTCCTGTGTACCCATAGCATTTAAGTACTAATTTAGTTTCGAATTAAATTAAATCCAGAAATTAGAAAATCATTTAAAAACTTTGAAAAATCATATAAAATAATTCATAGCTCGGAAGAAAATATTTTGTACATGAAAGTTGTTCAGAACGACGAGACGAATCCAGATACGCAGTCCGTCTGTCAGCCACACGTCCCTAGCATAGCGAACATGCAACGTTCTCCCTCCGGTTCATCTGTCCAGAAAACATGAAACACTGAGAATACTTTCCCGGGTGTTTCCCTCCTTTGTCGGTATCACCAAGTATTGCGTTAGGTCGCCTCTAGCACCACATATTGCCATGTTATACTTTGTGATGCTTTGATTGCTCTGTTATTTATTGTGTTCCCCTCCGTTACTTCTTTCCGATAGACCCCGAGACCGATGTCGGTACCCCTGTGATCGACTACATCGACGACGAACCCTTCTTGCCAGAGCAACCAGGCAAGCCCCCCCCCCCTCCTTGATCACCAGATATCGTCTATTCTTCTCTCTACTGCTTTCATTAGAGTAGTGTAGCATGTTACTGCTTTCCGTTAATCCTATTCTGATACATAGCCTGTCCTTGCTACTACCGTTGTTACCTTTACCTGCAATCCTAAATGCTTAGTATAGGATGCTAGTATTCCATCAGTGGCCCTACATTCTTGTCCGTCTGCCATGCTATACTATCGGGCCGTGATCACTCGGGAGGTGATCATGGGTTTATACTTATATACATAATACATGATACATGTGGTAACTAAAGTCGGGTCAGCTCATAGAGTGCCCGCAAGTGATTCCGATGTGGGGGCTGAAGGGGCAGGTGGTTCCATCCAGGTAGTGGTGGGCTTGGGTTCCCGATGGCCCCCGACTGTTACTTTGTGGCGGAGCGACATGGCAGGTTGAGACCACCTAGGAGAGAGGTGGGCCTGGCCCTGATCGGCGTCCGTGGTTAATTCAGTTAACACGCTTAACAAGATCTTGGTATTTGATATGAGTCTGGCCACTGGCCTATATGCACCAATCAACTACACGGGAACAGTTATGGGCACTCGACGTCATGGTATCAGCCGAAGCCTTCCTGACGTCAGCGACTGAGCGGCTTGCGCCGGATTGGACTGGAACGCCTGCTCTTGTATTAGGGAGGCTAGGTTTGCTTACCGGCCACGTTGATAATATGCAGGTGTGCAATGGGCGATGGGCCCATACCCCGCACCATAGGATTTGGACCGGCGTGCTGACCTCTCTGTTGTGCCTAGGTACGGTTGCGACGTGTTGATCTTCCGAGGCCGGACATGACCCAGAAAAGTGTGTCCGGCCAAAGGGGATCGAGCGTGTTGGGAAATGTGGTGCACCCCTGCAGGGAAGTTTATCTATTCGAATAGTCGTGTCCCTCGGTAAAAGGACGACCCGGAGTTGTACCTTGACCTTATGACAACTAGAACCGGATACTTAATAAAACACACCCTTCCAAGTGCCAGATACAACCCGGTGGTCGCTCTCTAACAGGGCGACGAGGAGAGGATCGCCGGGTAGGATTATGCTATGCGATGATACTTGGTTAACTTACCATCTACTCTATTCTACTGCTTCAAGATGGAGGCTCCCAGAAGCGTAGTCTTCGATAGGACTAGCTATCCTCCTCTTATTCCGGCATTCTGCAGTTCAGTCCACATATACTACCCCTTTCATTGATACCAATGCATATGTAGCATAGCTCCTTGCTTGCGAGTACTTTGGATGAGTACTCACGGTTGCTTTCCTACTTCTTTTCCCCCTTTTCCCGGTTACTGCGATCATATGATGGAGTCCAGGAGCCAGAGGATCCCGAGGATGGTTCTACGCAGAGTTCGACTTCGAGGAGTAGTTAGGAGGTCCCAGGCAGGAGGCCTTGCCTTTTCGATCATTGCTATTTTTGTGCTAGCCTTCTTAAGGCAAACTTGTTTAACTTATGTCTATACTCAGATATTATTTCTTCCGCTGACTCTTGTGCATTCGAGCTTATGTATTCGAGCCCTCGAGGCCCCTGGCTTGTAATATAAAGTTTGTATTATTTTATTTTGTGTATAGAGTTGTGTTGTGATATCTTTCCGTGAGTCCTTGATCTTGATCGTACATGTTTGCGTGTATGATTAGTGTACGGTCAAATCGGGGGCGTCACAAACACCCAAGAGTAACAAGATTCGCGAGGGATTAGTGGGGGAAATCAAATATCTCTTGGTGGATGTGTAGATCTAGACCTTCTCAACCAATCCCTATGAGATCAACAAGTTTGATTGGTTAGGGAGAGAGATCGGACAAAAATGGAGCTTAGAGCAACAATTGAGTTTGGGGGTGGAAGTGGTAAGTCAACTTGGAGAAGATGACTCCCTTCTATAGTGGAAGAGCAAATCCAACTGTTATCCACCAACTCAGCCTGCAACGCACGGTACTACCGCACCGGAGACGCGGTACTACCGCAAGGCACTGCAGTACTACCGCCCACGCAGCAGTATCCAACACAGTCCTGATGCGACGAAGCAGAGGGCGGTAGAACCGCTGGCGCGGTACTACCGCAAGGCAGGGATAGTCCAGATTTGGGAAGGCATGGACATATAAAAATACATCCGTGGCAACTTCTGCTGAGTTTGGATCTATGCAAAAATCCGACACGGTAGTACCAGAAGCCAGGAGCGGTACTACCGTGTAGGGCGCGGATGTAAAAAATTACATCCGTCCCTACTTCCGCTTGTGCTGCTGAGCTAGACCTGAGGCCACGGTACTAATGCGTCAGAGAAGTGATACTACCGCGCCCAAGGCCGGTACTACCGCAGGGGCCTGCGGTACTACTGCTCTGAGGAGCAGTACTACCACATGCCCCAGTTCAGCAACACTCGAAGTCAATCCTTTTGCAGAGATTCGGAGAAACGGAGAATGCTCCAAAGAGCCAAAGGAAAGGTGGTGCAAAAGGAACATATGTATACGTGTTGATTCCATCCAAACCTTTTCAATGCGGACCCTTCTTAATAGTACGGATTTCCTATGACTCAAACCACCGAAAAGAAACGTAGAGAAACACTGTCTTCAATAGTCTTCGTGTGGCACCAAATCGTCTTTTGCCTAGATATGATATATCTGAAATGCTCAATGCACACGACTAGTCCGCAAAAGCATTGTCATCAATCACCAAAACTACTAAGGGATAAATATGCCCTTACAATGGTATAGTGGCAAGAAGGAGCTTTTCCTTCAGTCAGCCTCGCAAACAACGGTGATCGCTGCAGCACATTGATGTTATTGTGAGACTCGGGCATGCCAAAGAAAGTGTGCCAAGTCCAAAAATCATGTGATGCAACTGATTCAAGAATGATGGTGGGCTTCTTAACATGACCCTATGCCCTTGTAAAGCCTTCAGGCAGTTCTTCCATTTTCAATGCATGCAATCAAGAGATCCAAGCAAACCTGGCCACCCTCTTGCTTCTAAGATTGCCAAGAGTGTCTCGGTGTCTACCATAATTGGTTCTCTCATGTACTGAGGTCCGAACACCTCGACCATGGCAGTTGCAAACCTAACCATGGCATCTCCACATGTGCTCTCAGAAATCCGTAGGTACTCTTCCCACGAATCAGCGGCCGTGCCATATGCAAGCATCCGTAGTGCGGCCGTGCACTTCTGGTAACTAGAAAAGTCAATCGTTCCCACAACGTCCTTCTTCAAGATGAAGTAGTCATCATAGGACCGGACGCCACGGTACAAACGATCAAAGACAGTCTTGCGCATTCGAAAATGTCGGCAAAAAATGGTCAGCGAGGAGTGCATCTGGGGCAAAGTAGTCGCCCATCAGTGTCAAATGGACGCGCGCCCTATTGCGGTTGAGCACTCAACGACCCTTGATCGAGCCCTTGAGAACTGAGAACATGCTCTTCCACACGCTCTGTGTCTTCAAGGACCGCCTGCATCATCGTCGTCTCATCCGAGTAGTCCTCCTCGTCGGACGACTCAACATAGTGCTCGTATATGTACTTCAATCGTAATTCACTGCTAGAAAGAATGGAAAACTTTTTTAGCTCTGACAATACATTGAACAACGACTGGTATAAGAATGGTGAGTAGTAGTGGCGGATGGTACCTGGCGGGGCAGTCAGAAGACAGGGGCTGAACGACGACAAAGGAGAAGCGGGATGGAGCCCGCTTGGAATGCTGGAGGTGATAGAGACGTAGAGTTCGAGCAGGGGTATAGCGTGGCAGCCGGGATGATGGAGCGGCAGCGAAGGCAATAGAGAAAGGAGAAAAAATGAGACAGATGAAGATGTGGGTCCGAAAAAGATTTTGGATGAACCGGGATGTCAGAGGACTTCCGTAAAACTCAAAACTCCTTTGTTTGTCTCTGATTTACGGATCCGGGCTCCCAGTCGGGACCTCGAGGTGTCCTTGCGTAGCTAGAGCTTTCATGAGACAGCGGTGATCTCCTTTTAAAAAGGTATAAAAACGGCTGGCTGCACAATGCCATGAGATATGTCCGCCAGATCACGAGAAGTGCATGGATAAACCCGAATACATATGAACCCATTTTGAAAAACACATTTTGCAATGTCAAAAAATTCTGAAAAAGAGTGCACGCGGACATATTCATATTCCATGTGTGTGCAGAAAGTTTCACAGGAAAACAACTTTTTTTGTAGCCTATGCAAAAAAGACAAAATTTTGTGCCGTGAAACGCTATTTAGAAGTAGTAAAATTTGTTTTTTTTACTGAGACAAAACAAAAATACTTTTTTACACAAAATTTTGTGCCGTGGACGTATCTTTGCCGACATGTATGCATATTTTTTTAATAGAATTTTTCAACATTACAAAACACGTAAAAAGTACATTTTTGAAAAGCGGGTGCAGATGCCCCTGTGTGCAGATCGTCCACTCTCACCAGATCACCGACTAGTTTATTTTCAAATACCGATGGCACTTCTATCATCCCTACCTAATGCATACTGCACACATGTAAATGTTTCGGCAGCAAGTCTCAGGATCTCAGCAAATATTAACACATCGTGTACCAACGTCGGAACTTGCAAGTTCAGGGTCTCGACTACATGAAAGAAAGGACATGAATGAACAACAAACTGAGAGGCCCATCGTACTCTTCTTGAACGAGAGTTACCAGTTAAGAACACACCCATTTCACATTTTCCGTGACGCAAGAAAATGAACAAGAATGTGCAAAGATATCCACCGAGCTGTCAACCTTGTTAGTTGTGACCAACAAGTTTCTGACAAACCAAATATACCTCCCATCCACATAACTTTGATAAACAATCAATGTGCAGTAACTAAGAACAAAGAATTTGGGTCAAAAATTTAACGAAGAAAAGAATCAGCCTGCATCAATGACGTGTAAGGCACCAATTTTCAATTAAAGGTGCCACAACGCATCACCAACAATCCTGTCCCGTATTCTAGATGATGAGAGTGAACACTCCCTTTTACCTGAAGCCTCACCACTACACATCACCATTGCCTACCGCATTATCCTTCGACTTAAGGCTAATTTCTCTAACTGCAGAAAAACCACCCATCAAGCTCACTAATTTCAATGAACAGATGGTGTTGGATCTACCCTGTCAAAATTGATGGCTAATGACTTCTTTTCTGGTCTTTTCACTCCAAGTGCTTTGCCCTCTTGGTATATAGTACAGCAGTAGACGAAACAATCTACCGTCAGTCAAATCTTCTGGTTTCCAAAGTTTGCTATGGACTTACATTGCACTCGTCCATGAATCGCTCATCTCGTGCCAGAAACCTCTTCCAGTACTTCCTGTAATTTGGTATACCCAATTCAAGCCAAGGTTTCATATTACCATTGTAGTGCAATGATGCAGAAGTTCGGATCACTTTTTCTTCAATTCCGTACTGATAGCCGAGCCCAGATAAAGTCAACCTCTCATCAAGAGGATATACAAGATTCTGGAAGGAAAGCAAGCTTATAGGTAAAGCTGCAGCTCGTAGTGAGGCCTCGTCATCATTGTTCCGGAACTGTAATAGAATAAGAGTAGAAGTGATAATAAGCTAATCACTTCATGCAAGATGGGCCCAAATCATGCATTTTTCAAATAGACTGAAACTAAAGAGTTTAAGATAGTATCACAAGTGCTCACTATATCAAGTATGGATGATGGTTGAAAATATTGGAATAAAACAAAATACAATGCATGCTTTAGAACTTGAAATAAAATCAGGCTGACAACAAACCAACCTTTTCCAGGAGTTGCAGGTAATTCTCTGTAACATTATACTCTCTCCATTTTTCCAAATTAATGACATTCAACCCAGACATCCATGCACATGACTGGGGATCGTACATTGCCTCGCCGAGAAGGTTTCTTAGTTGGCCCAGTCTCAGGCCACAAAACTTGACTGCGGCATTCACCTTATCTCCCATATCAAGATTCCACAAGAAAGAGAGATCACGTTGAACAATGACATCATCATCCAACACAATCACCTTCTTTAAATCTTTAAATATTTCCGGAATAAAGAAATGTGAGTGACTAAACACTGATAAATACTCCATTCTAGACTTCTCGGTAGGTCGCTCAAAGCTACTGACGAAAACACGGAATTCCTCGGGCATATACAACTGCTGCATGCTGAACTCTGGCAAATTCTCCAAAATAATATGCTCGTAGTTAATGACATTGACAGCTGATTCTCTGTAGGCATTTCTTGAAAACCAATGCTTCATTGCATAGAAATTTTGAGCATCGGTTAGTACATGAAAGACTACATTCCTGGTCTCCTGCAAAACACCAAAAGGAACATCAGCAATGCCAAACCCAGAAGATGTTCAATCAGCAAAAGAGTATAAGTTGCCTGCATACCTCAGAACTACTAACAGATGAGTTGATGACAACGGAAGCGGCAAGCACATTTTTGGATAATATAATGTAGTGCCTATGATCTGGAACATTAAACTTATGGACAGGAGAGTCATCTGAATCCAATGTAGTTGATTTAAAATATTCTACTGTCAACCTCATATTAAGGCAATGATGACTTTTGGGCATCGTGTGAACACCAAGGTTGTATAAGTAGGCACTCTGCTTCATATGAAAATGAGCTTCATCGTCCGTCATATGAAGTATCTGGCGAAGCTTTTTGTCAACATTGTTACAATCCACAGTGCACGATTTGGCTCTTGCTATTGCACGGTCCATCCTCTCTATCTTCTTTTTTATGCTGAAAGCACAGGTCAAGTGTCATTCAGTAACAAACAATAAAATGCACAGTCACGACTGATAGTACTTTCCCAGTCAACCATACCGGATACAAATTCAAGATGAACACTAAGAAAAAATATACATGTAAGATGTAACAAAGCATTTCAACCCCATGCAATGCATAAATGATCTGCTGTCATAATTTCAACATACAAGATGGAACCATGAAATGCTAAACGGGGCAAGAAGAATAACAAGCATGCCGAATAAATACTCACAAGGATGGTAGATCAGCATCAACAATGGATTCACTTAGAACCCTCTCATGTTCTTGGATATTCTGCTTCAATTCACGAGTCAGTGCCTCCTTTCCTTTAAGTTTGGCAATGCTTGGGTAGTAAGATCGAGCCACAAATAGCTGATCTTTTAGTTTTTTTACAATGGCATCTTTCATAACTTCTTTGTGTTCAATGGACCAGAGACAGTAACTCCCGAATTCAAGCTGACAAGCCTTAGCCTTCTCCAATTCATCAGCACTTGGGACCCTGGGACGTCTCATGTTGTTGTCACTGAAATCCTGGCATCAATATATTCTCCAAATCATCAGTACTTCTCTTAAAAGAGTAACAAAATTACAGCTTGGGCTCAAGTAAGAGAAAGTAAGTATATATTAATGGGAAAATGAGGTTATGCTTCAGAAGGTAAATCATGACTTGTGTACAAAGAGAAACAGCAAAACAAGAGCCATCATACTTTTCTGGGTGGAACTGGAACTGGTACTGGCTTCGCTTGTTCAATTTTTGGTGCGGGGAGAACTGCATACAGTGCCAATTAGTGGGTCAGCATGACCAACTGAAACATGAGTACATCATGAGAAGAGAATCAGGTAGAGAAGATGCACTACACACGCATACATTGCTTGACCTTAGAAAAAAAAGTATGGTTAATTATCATCACATCCTAGATAAACACACCAGCATTTGTTCAGAATTATGTGTTAATAGTTTATTTTAAGATATAGTGGCAAAAAGGCCTGCACTGGAAACAAGTAACAGCGAAGATGGTGAGGTGCTGAAGCAAATTGAGTAAAAGGCCAACTATTTTTCAGTGTCCAGGTAACTGGTTCCTACAACATTATAATATTTTTCCTGAAACATTTCAAAATGATGTATATCTAAAAGTTCACTTACATGAATGGAATTTGGTGCATAATTGATTATGGTATTCTCATATATTCAATTAAACTTTATGTAACAGTGTTGCAGCCACTACTAACCTTTAACTTTATGTTCAGTATCAATTTGGTGATGCAAGTCTATATTGCCCTCGGAATTCTTTCCGTGCGCATCCTGAAAGAAAAAGAGTAACACATCAAGGATTCAAATTATCCAAAGCTGTAACGGAAAACACTAGTAATCTATGCAAAAATAATAACAGAATGTATTAACTGATTCTACAACATATACTTTTCACAGCCTTCATAGTGCATAATCATGAAGAAAGAGACTAGGGTGGAGAGATTAAATATAGTACTTCTTTGATATATCACTTTGTTTGTCATCCCTGTGGGGTGGTTTGTAGCTGTTTGCTTGAATTATTTCTGTATGCGTTTTCCATATTGTCCTATTCGGTCGAAGAGAGGTGGCACAGAAGAAGACAATGGTGAGGAGTGCACCATGTTTCCTTAAGCTGACAAAAAAACACCATCCAACTCAATTTGGTCTGCTTCAAGTAACCCCATATACTTCAGTGATACAGTCAGTCGATAAAATTTTCTTTAATTTTTTTTATGTAAGAGCTTATGCACAATTTCCTTTTAGCATAGGCCTAAACTAGCTGGTATTTGGAAAAAATGCCTACTCCTGCTGGTAAGTCTGAAACATGCTGATAGACAGTATGAGGAAGAGTGGCAGAAATGACTAATGTGAGAGTAGAGCAAGCATGGCCTGTTAATTTTAAACGAACTTGTGGGCTCATGTTTTGGCCTACTGAACAAAAGTCAGGACCAAAGTTCTGAACTGCTATTTCTCATGCTAGTGAACATCAAAGATTATGGGGTACTGTATCTTTTAGTTACAAGGCATGCTAGTAGGCATCACTAGTGTTATTAAGTTTCATGACATTAATAGCGGAGAACAAACAGGGGCTAAAACCAAACACTAGAAGTGTCGAACAAAATACACATAGCTTTCGGTGGAATGATCTAGATGCGGTTATATGAGTTCATCACTGTCAGTACATAAGAAAAAAAAAATGCAAAGCCACTAACCTCTGACTCTGCGTTCACATCTCTACCACCCTGCCGCGGCACTTCATGTACAATCCTGTCTCTTTCTACCACTAAGCGATCGAATGAAGGCAAAGCAACCTCCTAAATGCAGCACAAATGAACACGTGGTAGCAGGAATCAGTCATACTATCCCAACCCATGACCATTTTCATAAAAAGCAGTCCATGAAAACTTGGACAAACGTCCGCATATAATTTTAATTTTTGTTAGAAAAAAAAAGAGAAAGTTACCTGTTGGGGGCGCTCATCCGTCACATACACTGCAGCAAACAACCAAACCAATCAGAAAATTGGCTCAAGTAAGAAGGACAAAAACACCAGAATCCAGCACTAAACGACAATTAACGAAACAACACTCCCGGAACAGATCCGCCGGGAATGGCGCGGATCCGATCGAGTAAGCCGCGGCGCCACCCGCATTACCAAAATCCGGGTGGGGACAAGAGGGACGGGAAGAACTCACCGGCGGGGAAGCGGTTGAAAAGGAAGGCGATCGGCACGAGCAGCGAGCAGAAGACGAGCGCCAGCACCGCCAGCCGCGGGCCCCTCCGCCTCTTCGCCGGCGGCGCAGTCGCCTTCATAACCTCCTCCCCCTTCCCAAGACCCTAATCTCCGCCGCCGCCGCCGCCGCCGCGTGGCCCTCTACTGATCATACCACCACCGCCACCGCCGCGACGGGGCAGGGCAGCGGCGCGCAGATGAATGCCTCCCGATTGGGGCAATGGCACGGGAACCCCAGTGGCGCCGGGCCCGATCGGTGCGTGGCGATTTGGGAGCCGCGTCGCCGGACGCTCGGATTGGTTAGTGTGCGCGAGAAGACAGGGCAGGGAGCGGAGGACGTCGCGGCGCAGGGAGAAAGAGAAAGAGAAAGAGAAAGAGGATTGTAGTATTGTTTCTTCTTGTTTGGATTTGGGATTCGGAGGACAAGGGGAGAAGTGTGCGAGGGGTGTCAAGGAATAATGGCCCTTTTGCCTCGCCTGCTGCGTCTCGTTTTCAACCCTTTCCTTTTATTTGGGGTTTTCTGCCTCGTAGAGGAGAGGTTTTATTTGAAGTTTTAACAAAATTCGACTTGCTATGCTGTTTATTACTTCTTTCGTCCTAATATTAATTAACGTCTAGATACATCCAACTCGGCCTTAATTAATATGGAATGAAAGGAATAAAACTTACCGTATTGTGATGGATATCAGTGGTGCTGCGAACAATCTACCATGGCAGCTCACCCTTGCAGCACTTCAAATTAGTTTCATCATCTTCCTTTTGATAAAGAAATTTAAAACTCTTTGGGTGCACGTCGTTTCCGATGAGAGACATGCGACATGGAGAACTCTAGTCGCGCCGCCAGTGACCCCAGACCCTCGCATCTCCGCTGCCAGAGGGAACACCGACGAAGGCCATGCGCGCCTATGGAAGGTGGTGATGAGGCATTTCGCCTTGTGATGTTAATGCGAGCGCGCCATGGCTGCCAGATGGTGTGGGGGCAAGATCACCTCCAGGAGCGACGACCCCTCTCGACCGCAGGGGTTTCTCCTCGTCTCCGGCGTTGCCTCCCGCCTCTATGGTGACAGCTATGGGAAGACGGCTTTGAAGGGATTCTGATGGTTCTTTTCCCGGCGCGTCGACATGGTGGCACGTCGGGCGTGAGAGGCCTCGCAATGGGCTACTTGTCGGTGCAGCTCCAGCCCTGGTGGCCCTGGACATGCGTCCTCGAGCATCCTTTGTCTGCGTTGTTCCGGCCTTAGTGATACGGTAGTTGCATACCCTCCAGCTTATTGGTCTCACCGGTTTTCTAGCGGCTCCTGCCCCGACAATCCAAATCCACATCTCTCTGGTTCTTGGCTCCTCATGGTCGCTTGCCATTGTCAGACCCCTTGCGTTGACTGCCCATGCCTTGTTGTCTCTCCCACCCCACCCACCTCCATGCCTCGTCCTTCTGACAGATCCAAAGCTCGTGTGTCCGTGACGTTCGGTGCCATTATCTGGCGGCGGTGTGACGCCCGGATAGTTACGCTACAGTAACCCTCCGTGCCACGTCACCACGATTACCGTTATTAATCTTGCGATGGTTCAAATCCCGTTTAAAATTCAAATTTAAAATCAAGTTAAACAATTAAAGTTTTCAAAAGTCAAAACTAAAATGTTCTTAATGTGACAAATAAATCATGGATAATATTGGTGGGAAACAACATCTTTATAAAATGATTAAATACCCTAAGTGATTAAAACAGCAGCAAAAACAATTAACTATACTCCTATTGTATTTTATAAAATATTAAACTATTTTAGCTAGGTGCCAAAGTTGCTGTGGCAGTGGTATAGTTAATGTTACTAGGTTAGATGCTAATTGAATATTTTACAAAACTAAAACAATTTGAGAAATAAAATTTAAACAGAAAAGAAAAGGGAAATGAATAAAAATAAAAAAACTTTTAAAAAAAGAAAAAGACCAAACCCTCCCCCGGGACCAACCGGCCCAGCTGGCCACTGGGCTAGCCAGGCCGGCCCACCTATTGGCCTACTTAGGCCACGCTGCTCCCAGCCAAACCCTAACCAACCACGATCCCCACCTCATCCTCGTCTCCCACACCGCCGCCACCCCACGCAACACACGCGCGCACACACACACGCACGCCTCGTGCCTGGGGGAGGGGCGCCCCTGCTCGATCCCCTCCTCCCGCACGGCCGCGCCCAACGCAAGTCGCCGCGCCGCTAAGGCCACCGCCAGCCGGGCTCGGCGTCGCCCCTCAGGGACTCCTTTGTGCCCCTCCTCTCCCTCGTGCGGCGCCCGCCTGACGTCGCGGCCTCGCCTCATCACCGACCCCGACCCCGTCACACCTCGCCGGCGCCTCGACGCCCACCGCCGTTGCCGCCCGTCTTCGTCCTCCTCCACGACCGGAGCTCCTACGCCTCGTCGGACGCTGTCGTCCTCTTTGTTGTCAGACCTCCCCGAGCCCTCCCCGAGCTCACTCTCGCACACCTGCAGGGCCCAGTGAGCCACCACCCCTCCCCTTCTCCTCTGCCCTCTCATAGCGTCTCTCCCCATCGCCGCTCACAGTCTGAACGTGCCCCGACCGCGGTCACCCCGCGCTGGCCGCGCCCAGCGTGCGTACCCGGCCACGCGACCCGCGCGCCCGCGCCTCGGCAGCTCCATCCGCCGCAGCCGCTCACGTCGCTGCTCCCCTCCGTCGCCCCTTGATACGACCACGACTACAGCTAATGGTGTTGTTGTTCAGACATCGTCGCTTAATAATGCACCACAAGTCAAAAATAATTATGTGCCAAAAATACTTCAATTTTGTATTGATAGTAAAGAAGTTGAGGCTTTTGCTACAACAACGGATAAAAATGCAACTAGGAAATCTGAGATAGGTTCTCTTCAGCCGGAAGACGCATATGATCATGCATGCACCCGATCCTATATATGTACGTGATTTCTTTGGTAGTTTTGATGGACTTGCAAAGAGATTAGCACATTAGGAATTTGATGTCCACGGTCCAGTCCTAGATGCGTGTCATACAAAGAAATTAAGGTACCAGGTGGACTACTACTTTAGTAGAGATCGGCCACCAGATTGTTTCAAATCCAGGCGGTGTACACCACGTGACGTGCTCTCCTTGTGAGCCTGCGAATGGGGACCACCAGCAGATAATTATGTCAAGTTAGTGCACCTATATTATGTCAAGTTTTGTTTAGAAAATAAAAACAGCCGAGATGTAAACGGCAAAGTCTTTAGAGTTCTAGAGTTATCTTTAGGCAAGTCTTTGGAGTTATTTTTTTAAAATTTTAGCTGTGAGAATAGAGATAGGATTTTCCTTCCTTGCTTATTAAGTTGTTTAGATAGTTCGGCTGATATAAAATCCAAGGTACGCCCATGTAAACAGTAGGTTATTTTTATATGAAATAGGCACGATGTGTTTTTCAGGGTAGACATCTGTATCAAGTTTTAATGGAATCTTTAGAAAATCTCTATGTTGCGATTTTTCTTCGTGAAAATTATTTTGCTCGTGAGTACCTTCGTCGAGATTGGTTTTCTCGTGCTGGGCCGCAAGGTTCAAATCCTCTACTTCGTGTACATCGCGTGCGCGAACGAGAGGTTGCTACTGCTGGTGGTGGAGTGTCGTGAAAAGTCGGACCGCAACAACGGATCGAATCTCGCCAACGAGGTCCGGTCTACATCACCCCTGCTCCCCTGCAAGCACGCTGCCTTGCCTGCGCCCCGGCCTCGCCTCGTTCGCCCGCGGCGCCCCGCGCTCACCAGGGCGGCCACTGGCGGGGCCGCGCCCTGACTCCCCCCCTCGACGTGCTGCGAGCTGGCCGCCGGCGCCCCTTCATGCCCGGCCGCCCGTCGCTGCTTCCGGCAGCTCCGGCGAGCCACCCTGCGCGCATCGCCGCCCTGGCCGCCAGCGCCCACACCCGCGTGCCCTGGGCGTGCGCCCGAACGGGGCGCGCCCGTAACCCGTTGCCCGCGCCCTGTGTGGCCTTTGGCCAATGACACATGGGGCCCAGCCCCCCAGAACGAAATAAAAAAAAGAATTAAGAATTAAAAAGAAATAAATAAATAAATAATAATTGAAATAAATAAACAAATAGATAAATAACTTAATTAATTCTGATTAGATTAACTAATTATGATTAATTAACCTAATGGCTAATTAACCTAATTAACTACTGTTAAATAACTAAACAGTATATGACCAGTGGGACCCACCTGTCGGGTTGACCAGGTCAACTGCTGATGTCAGCAAACACTATTCTGGATAATGTTGATTTAATTAATTAAATAAATTCTAAAAATGATTTAAATTTTTTAAAATTAATATAAAATAAACCGTAGCTCGGATGGAAAAACTTTGTACATGAAAGTTGCTCAGAACGACGAAACGAACCCGAATACGTAGCCCATTCGTCTGCCACGCATCCCTAGCATAGCGAACACGCAACTTTCCCTCTTCAGTTCATGTGTCCGAAAACGCGAAACACCGGGGATAATTTCCCGGATGTTTCTCCCCTTCACCGGTACCACCTCGTACCGCGTTAGGACACACCTAGCATCGCGCTTTGTCATGTCGTGCATCGTCATGCATTTGTTTGCATTATATTTGTTGTTTCTTCCCCCTCTTCTCTCGCTAGACACCGAGACCGACGCCGCTGCTACCCAGTACGACTACGGGGTTGACGACCCCTCTCTCTTGCCAGAGCAACTAGGCAAGCCCCCCCTTGATCACCAGATATCGCCTATTCTTCTCTCTATTGCTTGCATTAGAGTAGTGTAACATGTTACTGCTTTCCGTTAATCCTATCCTGATGCATAGCCTGTCCTTGCTACTATTGTTGTTACCTTTACCTGCAATCCTAATGCTTAGTATAGGATGCTAGTTTATCATCAGTGGCCCTACATTCTTGTCCGTCTGCCATGCTATACTACTGGGCCGTGATCACTTCGGGAGGTGATCACGGGCATATGTTATATACTTTATACTGTACATTACTTATGATACTGTTCGGAGTTGGGGGCTGAAGGGGCAGGTGGCTCCATCCCGGTAGAGGTGGGCCTGGGTTCCCGACGGCCCTCGACTGTTACCTTGTGGCGGAGCGACAGGGCAGGTTGAGACCACCTAGGAGAGAGGTGGGCCTGGCCCTGGTCGGCGTTCGCGGTTATTTCAAGATAACACGTTTAACGAGATCTTGTTATTTGATCTGAGTCTGGCCACTAGCCTATACGCACTAACCATCTACGCGGGGATAGTTATGGGCACTCGACGTCGTGGTATCAGCCGAAGCCTTCGCGACGTCAGCGACTGAGCGACACGCGCCGGGTTGGACCGCGTAACGCAACTTCCTTTGTAATGGAGGTTGCTAGGTCTGCTCTCCGGCCGCCCTCGCAACCTGCAGGTGTGCAATGGGCGATGGGCCCAGACCCCTGCACCATAGGATTTAAACCGGCATGCTGCCCTCTCTGTTGTGCCTAGGTAGGGCTGCGACGTGTTGATCTTCCGAGGCCGGGCATGATCCAGGAAAGTGTGTCCGGCCAAATGGGATCGAGCGTGTTGGGTTATGTGGTGCACCCCTGCAGGGAAGTTAATCTATTCGAATAGCCGTGATCTTCGGTAACAGGACGACTTTGAGTTGTACCTTGACCTTATGACAACTAGAACCGGATACTTAATAAAACACACCCTTCCAAGTGCCAGATACAACCGGTGATCGCTCTCTCACAGGGCGACGAGGGGAGGATCATCGGTTAGGATTATGCTACACGATGCTACTTGGTGAACTTACCATCTACTCTCTTCTCCTGCTGCAAGATGGAGGTTACCAGAAGCGTAGTCTTCGATAGGACTAGCTATCCCCCTCTTATTCTGGCATTCTGCAGTTCAGTCCACATATGATACCCTTATTCTTTTTGATACCAATGCATACATATGTAGTGTATCTCCTTGCTTGCGAGTACTTTGGATGAGTACTCACGATTGCTTTGCTCCCTCTTTTCCCCCTTTCTATACCCGATTGCTGCGACCAGACGTTGGAGCTCAGGAGCCAGACGCCACCGTCGACGACGACTACTACTACTCGGGAGGTGCCTACTACTACGTTCAGCCTGCTGACGACGACCTGGAGTAGTTTAGGAGGATCCCAGGCAGGAGCCTGCGCCTCTTTCGATCTGTATCCCAGTTTGTACTAGCTTTCTTAAGGCAAACTTGTTTAACTTATGTCTGTACTCAGATATTGTTGCTTTCGCTGACTCGTCTACGATCGAGCTCTTGTATTCGAGCCCTCGAGGTCCCTCGCTTGTAATATGATGCTTCTGTGACTTATTTTATTTGTAGAGTTGTGTTGTGATATCTTCCCGTGAGCCCTT